CTCCACATTCTAACAAAATGGTCAGTCATTCCCAAACAGAATTAGGATTTGTTGCTAAAGATGATACACTGCAGTCCATAGTAGTCCATGCTTCTCTGTCATGGCGTCACAGCCAATATAATGAGCAATGTTGGGATACTAATGGCAAGATGCATAGTGGTTTCCACTGTACATGTAAATTTGTTGCCTGCCAATGGTCCAGGAAGAGGTAGGGTTTTAGCAAGGCTTTTATCTGTCTCTGTATAGTGAGTGGACAAAGGTGCCATTGAGCTGATTGTATTTGTTTCATGATCAGATGATCATCTTGCCTGGTGATCTATCTAAGGGAAGCTCACACATCTCATTTTCATCAAATTCTGAATAATTGCTTTTCACCAAAGTATTTGCCAAAGTGTTTGTGGCAAGCACACATATACACATGAAATTATTTGCTGAACATCAGTTCATTGTGGAAATGATGAATGTTTGTCCAAGATCCAGAAAATGATTTCACAATTCTCATACAATAATTTGTCCTTTCACAAACACCAGAAAACCCAACAAAATAAAGTTTAATTATATAAGTCAGGGCTTCTTAAACTATGGGTCACAACCCCATTTGGGGTCGCTTAGTGAAATCTTGGGGTCATGAGATTTTAATGCAAAATATTGAAAATAATTTGTGAGAGTTTGAAAATGGCACACTTTGTGTCATAGGTTTCGTGAATTGCACTTTGTGTCACTTCTGGTGTATCGAGACAACAATTCAGCAACACTGATTGTAGTGTGAACTAGTGTATTATTGTCACTTTTCAGTGTATTCTGTTGTCTCTGTTCCATTGTAACACAAGAGTGAACTGTGGTAGTACACCATTATTGTTTTTGCAAATTTGTATATATCTTTATTTTATATTTTTTGGCTCGCAAAAAAAATCACAATCATAAATGGAGTCGTGAATAAAAAAGTTTAAGAAGCCCTGATATAAATGAATGTTTTCAACAATTTTAAAATTGTTATCTTCAGGTTAAAGAATGGAAGATAGAACTTCAATTTTTTTTAAAAAACAAATATATCCAAATTTTATTGGATAGAATATACAGGTAGCCCTCGGTTTACGCCGCAGTTCCGTTCCTACAAAAGCTGGCGCAAATCGAATCGGTGTAAAACGAACCCGTATTTACAGTGAGGTATAGGGTTAGGTTCTACATAAGTGAAAAATAAGCTAATAATTTTGTTTATTAATACAATATAATACAAAATACATATAAATTTTTAATTTTTAAAATGTATTTTATCATAAAATAAAGTAAAATGTTTTTATTTAAAAATTTTAGTTTCGAATTTCTTACATTTTTCGGAAAAAAGTATCCATCTTTAATTGTTTACATTTTTGATTTCTTTCATTAAGAATTTCGGAATATGGTCGAATATGATGCTCCTTTTTACATTTGCACTTCGCTCCCAACATTGTCTAACTCACAAACTTCATTCGTCAAACTTTCGAGGAAAGTTTGACGAATGAAGGATACGTTAACCCGACATACAGCTACAGACGAGTGAAGACACTGATTGGTCGACCACCGGTCGCCGTAGCACATATATAAGGTCAGTTTGAGCGGGAAAATTCAAGGTGGCTAAGGAGAGATAAGTATTGTCTGGCCAACGAGAAGTAGATTTGTCTCACTAATGATAATTTGTGACCGCTGGAAGTGTTATTGCGTCGTAAGGTGTTTTCCTGAATGAACTGATATGGGATACATTCATTGGCGCTATGGATTCAGACGCCATTTATTGGACTATTAAGTTTAATATTTTGACTCATGGGTACCTAAATGTTTAGTATTTTAATATTAATTTAATGCAAATGTATACATACCCAATAATAATAAACAGAAAAAATAAATATATTTAAAAATCTTTGTTTTAATGAATGTACAATGTCGCGGCTTGGTAAATACGTCAACACTGAAATGAAAATCAGTCTAGCATAGGGAAAATCGGGGAATTACACCTCAAAACAGCGAATTGCGCAGCGGCATTATTGTGAATCGGCATAAATTGAACTGGCGTAAACCGAGGGCTACCTGTATACATAATAAATAATGAATGATAAATATATATGTAATTTATGAAGCTTACCCAGTTATTAAGGGACATTACTTAATAATTTGTGCCATTACTTTTAATTATGAGTTGTTCATATCTGTTAATGAAAAATAGGCAAACCAGTTTGGCTTACATATTTTTTCTCTCTCTCTCTACTCCACTTTACTTTGTTATAACGTTCTAAATGATGCCATTAATGAGTCTTTTTTTAATTCAGAGAGATATTTGCCTCAATTTTATTTATTTCATTAGATCATTCCATTTTGAAAATAATGACCAAAAACAAGAAAATACACAAATGCATGGTGGCAAATATTCCTTCTGTTTCAGTGCATTTCACTAACAAGGAGTAGGAAATGACGAATACTAAATATTTGTCACAAATAAATCATCTACCCTACTTGGTATTGGCCAAATGTTAGCTTGGCATTTGGTGAATACTAAATGTTTGGATCCACCATAAAACATCCTGAGCCAACCCACAATGTACATGTCCTGATATATCACTGTCCTCAACATCTGTTCATGGTTGGGTGAGAACAATCCAGACAACAGGGAATTGGCAAAACAGCTATCCTGTGGAATTGATACAGCCTTTCTCAACTTTGTTAGTCATGCATAATTTTTTGAGTACGTTGTAAAGCCATGCTTGGCATTCAAAGACCCTGAAAGCAACAGATAAACTAAAAATTCTGAACACAATGAGACTGCAAGGCTTTTTATACAATACTGGGTTAGCAATTTTAAGGCATTCTGGTGGCATTATCTGGCATGCAATTGAAACAAAACAACTGTAATCAATTAGTTTACATATTATATATACACACATTATATATAAAATATTCATTTATATATGTTACAGTCAAAACCCGTTTTTAGTTAGAACGCGTTTTAACTAGTTGAAACTAGTTTATACTGAATGTCTTTGTTAAAACCCGTTTTGTCTAGTTAAAACTAGTTTTAACTCAAATTCATTTTTGACTAGCAGTAAATTCTAGTTTTAACTAGACAAAACGGGTTTTAACAAAGACATCCAGTATAAACTAGTTTTAACTAGTTAAAACGCATCCTAACTAAAAACTGGTTTGACTGCAACGCATAGAGTGATTCGGGGTAAGATGGTAAGCGGGGGAAGATGCCTAATTTTTGATATTTTCAAACGGTGACGTCACATATTGTCATGTATTTGTATGATGAATCGTTGGGCCAATATTGAGTGCGGAAAGCTGTAGTTGGCTACCGTTACTTCATTTTCTACATCCGAGAAGAATAAAAGCTAGATAAGAACGAAGTTTTTGTTGTGAAATGTTTCTAGAATAATTTTAAACTAAAAGTTAAAATGGAATTTATTAAAAATTGCTAAAAACAATTAATGTGTGATGTAGTTAAGGTTCTAAAGTTTCCATTGTCAGCTACCGCCGATCCCGATCGGACATGCTGGAGCACGTGACTCTACTAGGCATCTTACCCCAACAAATGGAAAATATGCCACATTTTTCTTGGGGTAACGTGCCTATTTTTTGTTAATTGATTTCCAATATGCCTATTTTTAATAAACTTTTGTTTTCTCGTTTTATTGCAGGATATGCATAGAAATTATATAAGGACTTCTCAAAAAAGTTTTTGGACTGAAAAAAGCTTTCAGCTAGCTATAGAACACGTTAGAACGGGCGGAAACTTAACAATACTTATACTGTGCTGTTATACTTACTATGAAGTACTTTGTACTACATATGCAATAAATTAAATTTGGTTAAGAAATTCAAAAATTAATTTTAAGCAATTATATTTGTTATCTTACCCTAATGGCATTTGGCATCTCACCCAGATACTTGGGGTGAGATGCTTAAAATGCCAGACAGTGAAAAAGTCGTCATTGCAAACACAGTATAGAATTTTTTAAAATAAACTCCAAACTTTTATTTGAAAGACATACTCCAGAATATGATATTTTCATTAGAGGGCTCCTAAACTCAAATTAGCGCTGTAATTTTCTTCATAAGCAAAATGTTAGGCATCTTCCGCCGAATCACTATACATAACTTTATTTCCCCCAAACATATTTATGTAGCTAAAATTAGTTTTAACTAATGTTAAAAGTTAAAACTAGTTTTATCTAAAGTCAAAACATGTACAGCAGTAAATTAACTAGACAAAACCGGTTTTGTCTAGTTAAAACTAGAATTTACTGCTAGTCAAAAATGAATTTGAGTTAAAACTAGTTTTAACTAGACAAAACGGGTTTTAACAAAGACATTCAGTATAAACTAGTTTCAACTAGACAAAACGGGTTTTAACAAAGACATTCAGTATAAACTAGTTTCAACTAGTTAAAACGGGTTCTATCTAAAAACGGGTTTTGACTGTAACATATATATAATGAATATTTTAAATAAGTTATAAATATAGATTATATGTTAGAAAATAAAAATTATAAAATTTTTAAAGTAAAAATATATAATATTTCCTCAGTCTGATAAGTCTACTAAAGAAAAGTTTAAGTTTTTAAGGAAGTAATTTTTTTCACTAGTCCATAGATTCCAACATTATTAGATGTGTGAGTGATAATTTTACTATTGATGCAATATAGAAGCCAAAAAATAATTATTGTATATATTTTTTCAAGTAGATCAATTCTGTTACATAAACAATATTTAAACATTGAGTTTATTTTTGAAAACAATTTGAGAATGTAATTAAACAATAAATTAATATCACCAGGTTCAAGATATCATTGATTTTGTGACAAAATAAATGGTGATATATGTTTTTCTAATTATTTGTGTGTAGTAATAGTTAATAAATTGCATTCTGTCTAGATTTTTATAAATGTTGCATCTTATTTATTTATATAAAGATTCTTATATAGCAGTTTGTAACAAATTTAAAATTATGATTTTTTTTTATTTATAAGGAACAAGATCCAGATCAAACAGTTCAAGCAGATCCAGAAAAAATGGAACAATTAAAACAACAATATTTAGAAATGAAATTACAAAAACAGCAGCAAGAATCTGAAGAAGATTCAAAATGGTTAGCTGAAGAAGAAAGCCATTTTATTCCTGTTACTGTAAGACTAATATTGTTTTTAACTATTAAAACATGTATAATTAAATTATTATTATTTTTAATATATATATTTTATTAGCCTAAAAATAGGCTTTCATGTAGTGAACCATCTCAGAGTTCTGATACTGAAAGTGTTGAAATTGATGGATTGCCAGGATCACCTATTAGTGATGGTGATAGTATTGAACCTCTAAAACCATGTAAGATGATGATAATTAAACCCTTATTCTAATTATTAAACAGTAATCTTGTATTAACAGTATATCAATTAAACTTTGACATAGGTAGGAATATAAGAAATTAAGTTTTCTTAATATTTTCATTGCAAATATATTATTTCAACAAATAAATTGTGATGGTAAGAAAGGTAACAACATCCTACAAACAATATGTGTATTACTTGTTATAAGTGGTACGTGATCTTAACTATATAAATAACTAGATCTGTTAGATATTCCAGTCATTTTTAATCACAATAAGATATATGATGAATAATTGTTTTATGGGCATAGACAATTCCATCAATTGAAATTCATTGGGAATGGAAATGGTGTAACATCTGTATAGATGCATGAAAATGATACATGATCATTAAACAAAGTTATAAAATGAGAATAGTTGTAGATATTTTGCAACATTCAATGAGCTTATTCCTCATATTAAGGCAGTTGTATTTAGAAGAATCACTTGCCACATATTGCAGAACACATCTTGACTACTTATATGGAATGATACAGGTAAATGAACATTTGAGTTTTGACAAAGTTTGCAACTGTGTGTCCCAGAACAATTTTCTGAAGATCAGAAATACTTGCATAATGCTGTTTCTCTTGATTGATTAAATGTAATACTGGGGAGGGGTTGATTTCTTGTTCTCTGTTGTCATTAGAGGTGAAATGTGGATGTATTGTTATCAGTCACATTTAAAGTTGAAGTTAATTATCTGGAAACACTCATCATGACATGTTAATAATGAAAACTTCAGTGTTTTTCCAGTTACTGACAAATGGGAAAAATTGAGTTTTTTCCAAATGCCCATAACTATGTTTTAGGAATATTAGAGACTTCTGCTTATCAGTATCTTGCAGAAGAGAAAATATGCAACTCATTTTCTAGAAACACTAGATTACAAGAGATCTGATCTTCTGTCTTGTAAAATTTGGCTTCTACACATCCATTTGTTGCTTTTCTGTGGACCAGAAGTGAAAAATTCTTTTTCACTTATCATACAATCTGGATTTTTCCTCAATACATTTCTCTCTCTGTTCTTAGATGAAGAGACGTATGGTATAAGCCAATTTTAAACAAATGAGAAGATGAAACATTAGACCCATCAGTGATTGAATGCCTAGATTTCTGACAAGAAACTGAAAGATTTACAAGTAATTGTTTGGCTTAATATTTCTGCAAGTGTGGAGATTTTGTAAAAAGTAAGAGAGAGATGAATATTTTCTAAAATGAGTTATGATTTTCTTGTGGTACTTTGCTTTTTATAAATCAAAAATTAGAGAAATTTATTTCCTGATATTATTTCATATATATTTCTAGTTTTAACTATTAGGTTGGCAGGAAAGTAATTTTTTAAAATTAAATTAAGAAGAACTTGGTTTTTTTTAACCAATATAATTTCTGGTTGTTAGAACTTGTTGATTCTAATGTTACATTCTGTTCAAATTTTTAAGATGGGATCAGCTTTTCCAAAAGAATGTTCAAATCACATTTTAAAAAGTATACTTCTTAATATTAAAGACAAACAATTGCTGGATTTTATAAGTCTACTGGCTTACCTGTCACGCATTGCTGCGATCTCAGAAGAAACGAAATTCAAGCAAACTCATTATGATAAACTTAAATTCACATTTTATTATTTTTATTGAAACTTATTATTATTGTGAACCGCCGGGGAGGTTGGAAGTCTCCCTTTCCGGCAACAGGTCGTTAAACCTGCTCACTGTCAAGATGGCTTAAATGTTTCTTTTCCCAATCCCGCGGTAATGGGATTTAATTGTTTGGATCAAGTGAAGGAGAAAGGAGGGCTGTCGGTAAAGGGACAGGCGATATACGAGTAAAATGAGGACACCAATTTAACAAGGAAACAACAATTTATTAGCTATCTACATAGACGATACAATAACTATTATCGAGAGAAATTTCTGAGTCCCTAAAATGCGAAGGGCAGAGAGAGAGAGTTCACAAAAATTTGTTCAATACCTTTTTGTCTTTAAATATTCTTGAGGAAAAAGATTATGATATCCAATGGGTTCCAAACTGGTAGGATAAGGATAATAATTTCTCAGGACACAATATATCGATAGGACACAGTATATCAATAGGACACAATATTCGAGGAAATTGTAGTTGGCGGCTGATGAACGACTCCCCTGAGAGGGGGAAGCAAGTGGCTTTTATAGTTTCGTTGTGGGAGAATGGTCATGTGACCAATTGTTGTGAGGTGAAAGGTACTCGGATGGGTCAAAGTTGTCCCCGGGCCCACGCTAACTATCAACTTTGGAGTTGGAATGTGGGATTATTTTCAAAATGGACAGATGTTTACTTTGAACAAAAGGGGAGATTGCAATTTTTCCCTTTTTTTAAGTTAGGTTTTAGTTTAGAATTTAAAGGAAAATTTAATTGAGGGTTTAGAAAAATGTGAGATATTAATCGGAAAATTCGGTAAAAATTCCGGATTTCACATTATTATATTATTATTATTATTCATTTTCATCAGGAAAACATTTCAAAGTGTCATTTCAATTCTATTTATTTATTGGAGTGCTTGTGGATACACGATATTTTTTGTTTTTCCGTCTGGTGCGTACATGAATAAATCAGAAGGTTTTTCGATGTGTGAGCTGGCCACGTACAGTTGTACATGTGAGAAGCACGGATTCTTTAAATTCAGCCCACATACTCGCAGAGATTGTTAGAAGTGCGATATTCCCCATTTTTATATATTTTTTAAAATCCTTTATAATTTTGATAATTTAATTGCTCCTTCCTCTCTTCCTTGGCATGTTGTGAAATTTCTGATAGTTGGATAATAAACCGTTTTATTGTAATTTGTCTTTTTAAATTATTTTGAGTCGATATTAAAATTTGGAAAAGGG